CTGGTCCCCTGTTTCTTTTCAGACAATTTCAGTCCTCTCTAGAGCTACATTTTGCCATAGCAATTTTAGCAAAACCTGATTTCTGAAAGACGCAAACAACCCTTTTAGCAAATAGTCACCTCCTAACCTGTCATTTGTTCTAATTACGAGTTTACTGAAGGTTAAACTGCAACATTTTAAAGTAACTACATAGCTAGCTTTCAAAAGCACAAGATTAAAATTGTAGTCAAAACAAGCGAAGGAAACAGATGTCTCAAACATTTCAGGAGGGTTCTTTTACTAAATAAATTCTAATATATTCAGAGTAAGCAGCAGAGATCCTTATAATGAACGGGTGGCATTCTGTACAGTGAATCAGGAATTATAAAACTAAATTAAAAACCCAAATCTAATTTGCTATAAAAACAAATAGCTCCTAGCTCTTGAAAAGAAAGTTGCTGAGATATGCAATGAATCAGTCTTCTGCATTTGGAATTTTGATGCTGAATTCTTTGTATATTCTGTTATTGAATTACAAATTTCAACATATTGTGAAAAATATATATTATTTATCATTAGCTTCATAAAGCTTTTGGCTGTGATGTTAAAGTGACCCACCAGCTACCGATCACTAGTGGAAATTCAGATAAATGTTAAAAATTCTGTAGCCCTTTTCAAGGAGTATTAGAGGACAGATTAACATTTGTTCTCATAATAAAACAGATTCTAAGATTTGATGCTGTAAGAGGTTGAAGCACTGTTGAATTTGCTTACCCAGTTTGCACTACCATTGTTTTTTAAAGCACTGTTGGGATACAATCAAAGAATCAGAGAAATGTAGAGCTAGAGGTGCCTCAAGAAGTCATCTAATCCACCCCTCATGCTAAAGTTATTTGCACAAGCTGTGCAGATAGCATCTTTCCAATAATCACCAAAAATACTGTTTTCTGTTAGTAAGTATCCTTCAACAGTATCAGAATAAACTGGCTAAAAACAGTGTGTGTGCATGCACGCATATGATACGGATCACTGCTTTCTAAAAGATAGAATTAGAACTACTTAGCTGTGTGTCATAAACCCTAGCCTGCTGTGATTCATCTTTAGCTCAAGTGGGAGGAGCCAGTGCTTTCAGGGCAGGAGAATCTGAATTCTATCTTCACCATCAATGTGAATCTCTGAGTGGGCATAGCAAAGCCACAACCATGAATGTGCTGCAGTATTAATGTAACACATGAAACTGAGTGTGAAAGAGCCCTGGGTTACTGCAGTCATTAAAACTGCAATTGCAGCTTGACTGCAAAATACCATTGGTGACAATATCAATGGAAACCAGAGACATGCAAAACATTTGCACTGAACTTAAACCAAGCCTGGGTCTGAGGTTGCATGTGTTCCACAAACATAGGCAGAGAATGTTTGCACAAAGAAAAAGTCCACAATGTTAAGCCAGCAACCTCCCCTCCAAGTGGCACACCTCTCTCCTGCCCCCATATCCTGAACAAGCCCTGGGAACCCCACCTCACCTTACCTTTGGAGGAGATTTAGAGCTTGCTTTGGGGTATAGGAAGGAGTGATCTTGGTGGGGGTGATTTTCCATGTTGAGGAAGGAATTTGTCTAACTCAAACCTCCAAATCAACCTTCAGTGGTTGGTTCAGTTCTAATTCCTACAAAGCAAACTGTGGCATTCAGAAACCCCATCATGAACAGCCCCTACAGATCAATTACAACAGTTTCTCTTAATTTCTCACTCAGCAGAGGGCACACCTCTCTTCTCTCTCATATAAGTGAAAGGGACCTGCATATATGTGTGTGTGTGTGAGTGTGTGTGTGAGAGAGAGAGAGAGAGAGAGAGAGAGATGTTAAGAGCAGAATTTAATTGAAATGCATTCTGTGTCTTTCAAGTTAGGTGTGACTCTTAGATATATGATATGACAGGAAAATTATGCCTTCCATCTGTAGAGATGTGTAAATGCCTCATTAAGTTTAATGATTATCATAAAAGTGGCTCCACAAAGAAAAGCTTTGTTACTGAAAAGTAGAAGTGACACGGTAAAGCCGTGTTTGAATTGTGTTATCACTGAACTGGCTAAATTAATAAATTGGCACAGGAATTATTCTGTTTGTAAATAAAGGGCTATATTTTCAAAATTTTATGTGAACAGGGTACATTATAAAAAGATAATTTAGCAGCCCAAGAAATTATGCACACAGCATATTTTCAGACTTGATCTCAAGTCAACTTGAATGCACGTGCGCGTGTGTCTAAGCACTGAGGGAATGGATAAAGAGGAGGAGGGATGGGCACATCTATAAAACAAGATGGACAAGAGGAATCTCTTTTAAAAGTATATGGTCAGGCAAGAAATTACAAGTGTAGGTTTAGATAGAGGAAAACATACAAATAAGCAATTAACAACAATATATTAGCTGATTCTGAGTATCCATCCATCCAGGGCCGGCTCCAGGCACCAGCTTAACAAGCAGGTGCTTGGGGCGGCCAAGGGAGAGGGGCGGCACCTGCGGCAATTCGGGGGCGGCAGGTCCCTCACTCCCTCTAGGAGCGAAGGACCTGCCGCTGAACTGCCGCCGCCAATCGCGGCTTTTTTTTTCCCAATTGCCGCCGCCGATCGCGATCGCGGCTTTATTTATTTATTTTTTTTTTTTGCTTGGGGCGGCAGAAATGCTGGAGCCGGCCCTGCATCCATCCATCCATATACAAAGCTATTCAGGATATAGCACAAGGGACATTAGTCTAAGAAGAAATCCTCAAAGGAAGGAAGGAAGGATATACTGACCTATATATGATGACAACACAATCTTACATATAAACAAGGTTTATACAAGTATGGGTTTGATAAACAGACCATTAACAATTCCTGCTAGTAACAGCAATTATTTAAAAAGCCACACAGGAGCCAGACCATGCCTTTACACTACCAAGTATGAATTCTGACACGTGAATTTAAACAAGAAATTAACCAGTTTATTATATTCACATATGTACAAAATATTACAAATTAAAGTACTGTACTAAGTCACTGCATGACAGCAAGGTCTTCATACAGGCAAAAGAAAGCACATTGAGAAGCAGCGGCTCTGGAATAGTTACATAAGTCTTTGGTATTAGAAATATGGTTTAAGATGCAGTGTTTAACTCATTCAATACAGGGCATTAAACAGAGACAACAAAGATATACAGTATGAATACTATGAAAAAGTGTTTAGATTACTTTAATTCTTCTCCAAGGTAAATTGCTGGACCCCTGAGTTGCTAAAAAGCACACAACAAATTTAGGGTAATAAGTCTACTTATCAAAATAATGTTAAAAAAACCCTAGGTTACTGAACATAACAGATGTGTTTCTTAATCTGTATTGAATTAAACTGCTTCTCCTCATACAAGAACTATATGCTAATAGCTAAACACAAAACATTTCACAGAGCTAGAGCCTATTCCTTTACCCCTAAAGCAGGCAAAGCTGCCAAAGAACCAGTGTTGTCCACTTAAGGAGTATAGGATCAGGCCCACAACACATAATACTATTGCATGGCAAAATATAACCAGACAACATACCCAAGTCTAAACTGCTGTACAGATCACTTTATAAAATATCTTTTAGGAATCATTTACACATTTACAAATGCTCTAAATCAGTTCCATCAAATAATGTATTCAACTCAATCACAGTTACATAATTTTGAGGTAAACTCCCTGAAACGATGCTACTTTGGCGGAGATTCATCCCTAAGGTTAAAATTCACCCATATGCAGAGAATTTCTGAGAGGCTCGCTGCACCACTCGGCCCTGCAAAGGGGCTGCCTGCAGGATGCAGTGTGTGGAAGGAATGGCTGCATAGGTATGTGTGTGTCTCTGCAACCCCCCCAGGATGTGAATGGGATGCCTGTGCTGGCCACAAATAGACCAGCATAAAAGTGGGGACCACGGGGGAGGGGAGGAGCAGCCCAAGGAAGGGGAGTTGGGGTATGTGCTCATTCTGTGGAGGATCATTGGATATTATTTAGTCTATAGGGTGGATAGCAGTTGCAAAGGGGCTGTATTGCTGGTCTGTGTGCACACTGTGGGAATGGATTCTCCTGCGTTTTATGCTGGAAGGAGGAGAGTGTCACACACAGGAAAAATGCAGTTCAGAATTTTATATATGCAGGAACATTTTGTTTAGCCCAAATTTTACAGGTAAGAGATTAGCTAAATATTAACAATTGTATAGTCACACCTGTACAACATCACCACTAACACTTGTTTCAACTTTTCTTCTGTGAACCAGGACTTTCAAACTTCATTAAAATTCTGGATCTCAAAGGACAGATATCACTTGCTCATGCCTGACACCAAGGTTACAGGCTTTCATGCTAACTTGGGGGCTCTTTTTCTTAGGATAATAGACACTTATGCATTACATTGTGGAAGGAACAGTCCATACCACTGCATTGCCATAATATCACTGCCACTCTGGGAGAGAAGTAACAATCAGGGTTAGTGTCCTGAAAAACAGAAAGGCAGGCAACAGGGAAAAAAAATCTCTAAGAGGTTCTTTTACCATGCCCTGATGACCAGATGATACATGCTCTCATTTGCTAGCAAGGGAAAGAGAAAAATCCCTTCATGGAGACCTGATGTAGAAAGCTTCCAAAACCAAAATACAAAAGTGCCAATAGTTTAAGGTAAGTGCAGTACTACCCTTAAAAATGATACCTTCTTTCCCAGTAGATCGGTTCCTGTGTGTATTTAGGGTGAAATCTCCTTGCTTTGCTCCAAAAATATATTTGTATTACTATTTAATTCTTTCAGCCCTGCAGAGCCAATACACTTATGGGACAAGTGAGCGGGATTCTTTTTGTGCTCACACAGGAAAGGAACTGTTAACTAAATTCCTACTGCAAAGCTAAATCTGCCACATTATAGGCAGAATATGACCTACAAAATGTTTAAACTACTGATGATACATGAGCTATAAAGAACACATTTTGTCTAAGATTCCTAGTTGTGTTTACATAGTTAGTTGCTTATTTGTAAACTGAGTAAAATTAGCTTTGGAGCGCAAAACAAAAAGAGAGCACCACAATCCCATGTTTACAGTCATTTTTTCTAGCAGAACCACACTAAGTAACACTCCACTTTTTAAAACTGCTGTCATAAAAACAAGTTGTTTGAAAATTTAGGCAGGACTTCAAGTCTGTTATAATTATCCCACACATGTACCTTGGAAGAGAAGGCTATTACTATTTACTACATTTCTATTTTTCTCAGAATGGTTTTGATGAGTGCACAACTGTTTGTTATGTGATAAGTAACATTGCTTGATGTTTCAAGACAGGTAATACTGACTTTACTTCATGCCCACTGGCATGACTGAACTTTCCTTTTTCTGTATGCAGTGATAACGAGTAATAAGCCTTCATCTCCTCCTTCTACCATCACAGATGTTAGCTACTAGAAAAAAAAGATGTATTAAACATTTACCAATAGGTAGCATTCGCTGTGTACCACCGCATGAAAAGCAGCATAAAGAAATCTGTTTTGCAAGGATCGTCTGGGAAGGTGAGGTTTGGGCTTTATACTGGTCCCCGATGATGACAAACTGGCAGACTGTTTCTTGCATAGCTCTGGGCAAACCATTAATCTGTCAGCACAAACTTCTGTAGAAATTCCAACAATAAAACTGGAGGGTTTGGACAGACAGAAAATGCTGCTTTTGAAATACTTAACAAGACTAATAATGCTTTGCAGATTGTTGTATTCCACAGTCCCTGAAATTTCTGGTCAACAGTGCATAGTAAGTGTTCAATTCATTCATCTTCTTCAACATAGGTTGATGGAAACCAGCCCACCTAAAAAAGGCAAAAGCAGAAGAAAAATAATAGATAAGATGCTAATGACACGGGACAGTTCTTTGAAAGGCCTGCCTAGGCAAAAACTATAATGGTTCTGTTTAGTAACAAGAGGACACAAAATTATAAAGATAAACTTGATTGTGCTGCTACAGCACTTAGTTAGAATAACACCTCTCAACCAAGTGATGCAAATTATTGATCCCATGATTTGGAAATTGCAGCACTGGACATTAAAACCTATTTTTGGAAGATCAGAACTAACCGACTAGCTGTGACTATGCCCCAAAGCACTAAAACGTGGAAGAAGAAGAAGAGTAAGAGCAGAAACAAGGAGTTTTACAAGAGGCAGGCAGCTGCTATTTCCCCCTTTGGAGGTGAAGGACATCTAAGTATTCTGCAAAGCTACCATCAGGCTCACAAGTCCCCATTACCATTATTCGCCTAAATTAAATAGGAACTGATTTTCTTGTCCTTACATGCACTCAAGTCTCAATGGAGTCAGGAGTCGTTTTAAATGAGAAAGAATTGCAGGGCAGAGCCCGAAGTTTTTCATTTATACTGCATTGTTACTAAGTTATTGTATTGCTCATGAAAGAAACCAGACCATTAACCTTGGAGAGTGAAGTCCTATATCTATAGCAGAGTGCAACACAAGGGCAGGCTACTTCATGCTGACCTGTCAATGTACCCTGTTCTGGATGAACTATCTCTAGAGAAAGAAGAGAACTCAAAGCCCATCTTGCTGAGACTGTCAAACAGAATGCCAGTTCCTAATGTTTTTCTTTAGGATGTGGCTGTCTGTCCATTACCACCTGGAATGAGATCATCAACTTATTTCACACAGTACACAGGACCATCAAAAATAGTTTAGGTTTCTATATTGCTTCCAAACTATATGCTTATTTCTTTTTTAAAATGTGCCTGTCTCATGCTCTAGGCACATGTACAAAATAAAAAACCCTTCAAATAATGTAAAACACAAAATCCCAGCATTCTTCCCACCCTATCCCACAGGACTAACTTTCACTTCCAACCACCATCCAACCCACATCCACCCTCCCTTACCAATTTAAACCATGGATGGATGTGGTTTAAACCAGCCCATTTAAACCATGACCTTGAGTACCTCAATTTATCTCCACTGCAGAGGTATTACATGAGCAGAGTGGTAGCAACCTAAGGTAGAGATGGAAACCATTTAGGGCTTCTATGACAAAACTAACACTTTGAATTGTATCTGGGAACTACCAGCAACCTGCACAAATCTCCGAGCACAGACGTAACGTGCTCCCTCTAAAAATCACTGCTACGTAAGCCTCTTGCCACATTTTGTACTAGCTGAAGTTTCTGAGTGCTCTTCAGGTGTAGCCTCATGTAAATCCTATTGCAGCAATCCAGTCTTATGCTGACAAAGGTATGGAAGGCAGTGGTGAAATGCACATCCAAAAGGAAAGATAGTAAAATGCACTCCTTGCCTTTGCTGCTAGCTGGACACCAAGAAGCAACCAGGGATTCAACAAGACCCTGATGTTTTGCTGCTAAGGGTTATAACCTCTGCTACTTCCCCCACCCAACAGTCTTATCCACTCTGGACATCAGCCAGTTAGTGCTCATCCATGACCCTAGTTCATTTAGACTCTGGGAAAGGTGATCAAGCATACTGTCTGGATTGTCTGAAACAGAGCTGATGATGTGTCAGATATGCTGTGAGAGAAAATATGTGAAAAAGGTTTATGATGTCTGAAGACTCCATTTAAAAGCCTTATCAATGAGATTAGCACAAAATTATGCCAAATAAAAGAAAAACCTACCCTTCCATTTACTTCACCTCTCCACCAGCCATTAGCACTCATCTTTGTGTAAATTTTTACCACATCACCTTTCAGTAAGGACAGTTCTCTCATGTCTCTTGCACAGAAGTCATACCGGGCAATGGCTATGCCTATTGCTTTTGGACTTAGCACTGAAATTGAACACAGGAAATCAATGTTATTATGATCTGTTAATTGCAGACTAATCAATTAAGTCAATACTGTAAAATGTATAGCAATGATTCCATTACAAAATAAACTGGCAATAATTTTATGTAAATGTGAAAGTAACCACCCAAAGAAATCAAGAAGCCTTCTTTAAAGGCTCAACACAAGGTTGGAGGATTTTATGTGGTTGGGGGGGGGGGAGGGGGGGAATAGAAAAAACATTACATGAGCTTGAATGTAAATGCCACTAAGTCAAAATTTTCCCCAAGGATTCAAAAATACTGTAAAATTTATTATACTTTTGTAGTTTATAATAAAACTTACTGCAAAGTACATACGTCAACATATTTTTCAGGTCACTAATTTGTTTCCAAACAGATTATTGGCATTTATTGTTGATATAACTTTAAACCCCTAATGCGGCAAAATAAATAGATTATGGTGCTATTCCTTCAGAGAAGCAATCCAAGTTAAATACTATCCATATAAGGCTGTAGACCAACTCCTTCCAACTAACAGCAAAAAGGAAATGCATTTCTACAGTTTGGGCAAGTCTAAGCCAGCCCTGATGACCCCATTAAAATGAGGTCATGACCCACTTTGAGGTCCCGACCCACAGTTTGAGAACTGCTGCTGTAGACCAACTCCTTCCAACTAAGAGAAAAAAAGAAATGCATTTCTACAGTGTGAGTTATCTGTTGTATGGCCACTGGATCATGTAAACCACCATTTTTCTGGGGATTACACTGTAAATCAAACATCAAAAATGATCAGTTGAACCTGGCTCACAAAATTTCACCACAAAGCAAAAATGCCTTAATTCAGCAAAGTACCTAAGTATTAGCATAAGTCTAAGCATGTGAGGTGACCCAACAAAATCAACACTTAAAGGTTTACAGTGATGCACCGACTTAAAATACCTTGCTGAACTGGGGCTTAAATCTTTTAAACTGATATAAAAATGACTTCAAACATTTCTGAATGATACAAGTGCAAAAACTGCATGTCTCTAATATGTCCAATTCAAAAATGGCTTTAATCGTAGCAAACTGATAATCCTTTTATGAAGTCTTATAGAATCCAATCCTGTAAGCTGCTGAGGACTGTCATTTCCCATTAGGAGGTAAAAGTTCTCAGCACCTTGCAGGGTGAGACCTATAATTTGGGTATATTAGAAAAAATATACACTGGCTAATACATTAGATTCAGAGGTTAGACCAGCAACTGGCAAAGGTGGAAGCCTAAGGTATGCAAAGAGGCATCCAAACAGTGTTTTTCAATAAAGGCAATCTCCCTTTGCAACTGGTTCCATGAGTAAACAGCTGCTGTAGAAAGAAATGGACTCCCATTAGTTCTGACTAGCTCCTTACAAAGGGAGCTAGGGAGATGTACACACTAAAATCCCTACTGAAAAAATCCTGGGTGTATTTGGAGTATGGCCAACAATGGTGAGTTGGAGGAATCATCAAAACCATTCTCTTTGTCATAATTCAGAGAACAAGAGAGCAAGCACATTATTACTAGAATTTCCCAAAGAGTTTTAGGAATTGCTATTAACATTCTAGTTTTGAAAATGTAATCAAAATTTAACAGTAAAGAATCAGAGCAAGCTGCCTTCTTTGATTTAAAATCAGGGAAATACGAATCACGGCATATAAACTAGAAAATCTAAACAGCTACGACAAAATCAACCACTTAATTGATAGCCTTGCTGCATATACTTTTATTTGATATTTATTGTGACCGCATATGAACAGCAGCTTTTGCATAATAGATACCATGCATTCAAATCATTACAACTGTGCGCACATCAATGATTAAAACTGAAATACCTAAAGTCAAATCATATGTCTGAAAATGAATTATGACCTTATTTTTCCACAACATCATAGTGTACTATAACTTTACACTCAGCGTTAGTATTTAGAATCATAGAATATCAGGGTTGGAAGGGACCTCAGGAGGTCATCTAGTCCAACCCCCTGCTTAAAGCAGGACCAATTCCCAACTAAATCATCCCAGCCAGGGCTTTGTCAAGCCTGACTTTAAAAACCTCTAAGGAAGGAGATTCTACCACCTCCCTAGGTAACGCATTCCAGTGCTTCATCACCCTCCTAGTGAAAAAGTTTTTCCTAATATCCAACCTAAACCTCCCCCACTGCAACTTGAGACCATTACTCCTTGTTCTGTCATCTGCTACCACTGAGAACAGTCACTGAGAATATGCCTATAGGATATAAATACGTTATATAGAAGAGAATCAGCAGCTTGATATATTGTTTATGTGCACAAATGAAGATGCTGAAGAATATAGACAATCATGCACAGTATAGTATAATAAAAATATACTACTTACGCTCTAGCAAGTCAAATACCATGACTATTTGCCTATTTACATCAATATTATGTCAAATACCATACTGGACAGCAGGAATAAGTGGTGATGGGGCAGGAACTGATTTTGCAGGAGAAGGGGTGCAGCAGAGGCAGTAACTGACATTTTGTGGGGGAAGAGGGCACTAGCAGCACTTACTGATTTTGGGGTCAGTATATTGGTGGATGGCAATAGCAGTAACTATTTGGGGAAGGGGATCATTGATTTGGGGGTTATAAGGACCAGTAAATGATTGGGGGAGGGGAGGGGAAGCAGAGAGCCGCTCTTGTCTCTAGAAAGAGGATAGGACTCGGGAGAGGTCAAGGGGACAAGGTACATTGGGGGAGATGTGGGGGAGGAACAAAAGGAAGTAGATAAGAAGAGAACAAGGGGAAAGGGGAACTGAGGGAGGAAAAGAACTAAGGAGAGGAGAAATGCAGGGAATAGTGGGCAGTAAAATATTGGGGGAAAGGGGGCAGAATTGGAGGAAAGGAGGGGAATATTTCAAACCCTTTTCAAAGTGAGGAGCACAGGGGAAAGTGAGAAAGAAGTAAGAGGAGAAGGACGGAATCTGGAGATAGGGAAGAGAGGATCAGAGAAATAAGAAAAGAAAGAACTGAAACAAGCAGTAGGGGAGATTTTAAAGAGGAAAGAGGCTATGTCTACAGTGCAATTAAAAACCCGCAGCTGCCCCATGCCAGCTGACTCAGGCTCGTGGGGCTCGGGCTAAGGAGCTGTTTAGTTGCAGTGTAGACGTTTGGGCTCGGGCTGGAGCGCGAGCTCTAGGACCCTGCAAGTTAGGAGGGTCCCAGAGCCTGCACTCCAGGCTGAGCTTGAACATCTACAGCACAATTTTACAGCCTCGCAAGCTCTAGTCAGCTGACAAAAGCCAGCCCGAGGTATTTAATTGCACTATAGACATACCCTGAGAAGACTCACTAATGCTTGTAGCCCCAGAGAATTAGGACACTTTGGTCTGTGTCAGATTTCTGCCTTTGCTTCCATTCAGGTCAATTTCTCATTAATACACACTGTAACCAGTTTGATCTCACACTATGTATTTCTCTTAACTTATGACTTTATCCCCATAAAGGGTTGTTTTTGGCTAGTGGGTTCTGTGGGTCTTGAAGCAATGTACACTTGTTTAATTTTATGAAACTGTACATCAGTTCTCACCAGTATGCAAGCATGGAGAGGATTTTCAAAAGTGCTCACACATTGCTGGCTTAATTCTGCTCTCACTGGCATCAATGAGAATTTTACCACTGACTTCCAGTGGGAGCAGAGATAAGCCAACATTGAAGGTGCTTTTGAAAACCCCACCCATAATATTTTGGGATCATATTTTCCATTTATATCATTTAGTTGTGAATTTAATGAAGACTCTTTTGGGGTCTTAAAAAGAAATGATTTTATAAATAATGCAAAGAGTCACACATGGTATCTGCCAGAATATGAAATGCCATCCAAGCCGACATGATTAGATTACCTAACTCTACCTGACACCCCGTTGCTGTTGTGTAATTGTTACAAAGACATGCTTTACATCAGATATTGTCAGGATTTCTTTTTGTGGAGGAGACAGAGTGCAGTTAATCCTTACTAATTACCAACATAAAGGGCTCTGTTGGGACTAGTGCTATGCACAAAGGTAGAAGGGGGGCCAACCTCCATTCCAAAACCTTGTGCTACCTAGGCCAGATAATCCACCCTCTATAAGTGGAAGTGAACCAGCATAAGGAGAGCAAATGCTGCACTCTTTTAGAGGGGGTAGCAGTTGCTGTTGTGTATGTTCCTTCAGGGTTCTCAGAGACTTTTTCCCTGCCACAGGCAAAATTACTGGGTGCAAAGTGGTGCAGCCCCACCATAACTGTGGCTTAAAAGTCACAACAGCATCCTTACTTACTGGTGTTTATTAATGGAGTGCAAGTTTGCCATAATGTGATTGGAACTGAGATTAGCATGGCTGTAAATTTCAATCTTTTTATACAGTCTGTTAGTTCAAAATGTTTTTATGTTTTCAAAGCAAGAGAAGGTTAAAAGAGAATAAAGAAAACGTGAGTACATTTGAAAAACAGATGAGTAAAATTAACGGAAACAATGGTAGTGCAAAATCTAACATTTGCTACAACAGAACTCTAGCAACGGCATTTTACGACGCTGCCACAATATGGTTTGCTGTAGAGATGGGACGAATACTTGATTCATTCATGAACAGTGCAATTTTCAGGTATGCACATTTGTATGAATACATCAATTAAAAATATAATACTTGCTATAGGATTCCACTACTGAATGGTGAACTAGTGGCCATTTGAGATCTGCTGTGGCTATTCAAATTCTGCTTATAGTAATGTATACTTTTAAAAGTTAATTTTACAAGAGTTTGATTTTATTGGACTGCAAGAATAACAATTTTCTACCCTCTGATTACCTTGTCTTTATAGCTTATCATGTTAACCAGTTACTGAGATTTGGAGTCAGTCTTCAGGGAATAGCATTAGGTGCTATTCTGCATTTAGTCAAGAAATGAAAAAGTAGATTCGTCCCTTCCCTAGTTGGCTGCACACAGAAAGAATTTGCAAACAGAAGCAAATTTAGAAGAAATAT